AGAGATACACATATCACATAATTTTTATCGAAAATTATAACTGTGAGTATTTTAGGTATTAAATTTAACAAAAAATATTTAGCCATCAGGTTTGTGAAACCGGGCCCATTTTCCTTTTGCGTCATATTCATCGGATAAATCAGCATTTGAATTTTGCAGAGAAACCAAATTTTTGGAATTTATAGGAAAGCAAGCATCCCTTAACAGAGATTTGACAAATTCTTCAAATTATTATATCCGAAGAGAATTTTCATTAGCCTAACAGTTTTAGCAGTACAATAAATCGATTTTTCCTTTCTTAAATTTAATCTCCTTAATTAGTATATCCAGCAGAATAACGAATTCATGTATCATTTCAGCCCTAAGATATTTCGCAGGTGCTACTCTTCCTAATTTTTGTAAATCCTCAGTATGAAAATGGCAACAAAAATACTGTAGATAGCGGAAACGAGAAAACGCGCGTAACGAAATTATAAGTTGAAATATTGTAGCCTGTGTATGTTCAAATTCACGAAATCACAAATCATGGAGAACAGTGAATTTGACGCTTAATAATAATTTACTATTTTTTTCTTAACAAATACACGAATATCCAAAACAATTTGTGCTTGACCCATTTAGTTATCAGCGCATCCTCCAAAAAATAATTGTCACAGTCAACTTGAAAGCTACCCATAATTTCCATGATCCAAAGTGATCAAATTATTCATTTAATCGGCCTTAGTTTCTCCTCTCACTCCTATCTCCTCGACTGAACGTGAACTTCATTTATTAAATAACGATCGTCCTATTGAAAGCTCGATTAAATGACGTACGAGAAGGCACAGAGCACTAAAAATTTTCAAAACCCTTGAAAGTAGCTCCGCTTAGGCACGTTACCGTTAATTCTTGGCATATTTATTTCTAAGAAGCAGTTGACAAAACGCAATGGCTTGATCAATAATCGATAATCATGCTGCCTCGAATAACAGCTTAACCCTCCAATGATAATAAGCGCAAGAACGCTAATTATGCCCCATTTATTAATTAGATAACCCTTCGATTACAGCAGCTTCTGAGTAACCTTCCTAGTGCTTCCACATAAAGACCACAAGTCTTAGTTATTCCTGCAATGTCTACTGGTAGCCACTAGAAGAGGACACCAAGTAGAATATATACTACTCAGTAAATCGACTCCAGGCTATCTACTTATTCAGAATATTTTTTCAGCTTATTCATTTGTAGGTTTCGTTAGGAACCTCTAATATAAGCATTCCCTGGTAATTAAGTCAATAAAGTGGATTTTATGTATCTAATAAAATTCCATTAAAATTGACAAACACCTCTGGGGTGTGAAAAGGGGTAATTACTTAATTAAGATTGTGAAAAATAGTTTATGTGTTTGTATAAAAATGACTGACACCAGTATCTGGGGCATATTGCTGATAGGATGCCGAACAAATGGGTTGCCATGGCATCATATATCATTTCTATCAGCACAATCGAAGCAGCCACCATTCCTGTTTAAATCCGTCAATCGACTTCTACTATTTTGAACGAAGGGAGTCGTCATATGTGGTTGATTCGTCATTCTCCAGTCAATCACAACAATCACCATCTCAGTTCACTCTCCCCTTTTTATGACAAGTTAAGATGTCTCTTGAATGAAATAATTTTATATTTTCATCATTACAACAGCCATTACCAGAGAGCGTGTTTCAAAAATTTAAAAATACTCTATTAATTGTCGTCTCGTGACTCAAAATGATACCTTAAATTTCCCGTGTCTTGCAACGTCTTATTCATTAGTGTTCGGGAGTGCATCGATTTGATTTTGACCTTCCGAACTGACTTCTTAATATATTCAATTAACACGCAAGGTCGCTGATTTTACTCACTTGAGATCTCTCATAGCCAAGTCGGAGCCAAGAAATCCCACAGTCCACAATCGGATCTAAATAAGCTTATTCTCATAGTAAGAGGGAATTTGTCATAAAGATAACGTTAAAACTGCTTTCTTCCAACTGAGATGATGGAAGCTAGGTTAATGATTAGTAGATCACACTTATGACTCAGTAACTCGAGTCAATGAATTCCCATAAAAATGATCTCAATTAATTGAGTAATAATTAGTGCTTTCTACACTACTCCCTTAGGCAAATGCAAGCATATTGGAAAACCAAATGGTCCAAATTACTATCGTTTGCCAATATTGAAAAAAGGATGAGGAGTTTTCGGTTATTATCCACTTCACGTCGTCGATATGGGACTAAAGAACTTACTCATAGAACAGCTTTCCATCAATAAATTCAAACTTTCAGATTCTTAAATACAGTTCCCACAAAATACAGTGCTTTTTAAGTTAGAAATAAAGAGGAATATTGATTGAGAATAATTTAGCAAGAGACAATATAAAAAATGAAACTTAACATAAGCTAGCATATATATTTTATATGAGCATAGAAAAATTGCATAACCAAACACTTAATTGGACTAAATAATCAACGATTTCTGAATATTACGATAACGAACTGTCATACAGACGTCTGGGTGTCAAGTTTTAAGGTTAAAAACCTGAAATACTAAGAACTGAAGAGATTTAAAACATAACCCTATTCGAAATTTTCCTTTTATATTGTAATTAAATTAAAAATGAAGAAGGTTATTAAGAAGCAATACCCCCCCCCCCCTCCCCACCCTAAGCTAAAAAGAGCATTGCTTTAAATGTTAAAAAAGTAGAAGCATATAAGCCTGCGAAATCTGTTTTTTGTCCCAAAAGGAGAAAATAATATTTGTATTTCATTTCAAAATTCTGGCCTGGAATTTGAGAAAGTCAATCATTCCACAGCCTTATAATCTACAGCTTCTAATGAGTGCGCACTCATAATTGCGTAAAATTCAAAGTGCCAGAAATGTCAATTACAAACCTATTTACTGCTAAGTCATAGTATTTTCTATAAATAAAACCAGGTTCCACTTTTTTCTTTGTTTCTCTTGTATAACTCCTTTTACAATCGATTGAAAAGTACAAACGTCATTAACAGGTGAATGTGTCCTTGACCTCACACCAAACAGGTTGACATCTGCGAGTTGAGCCTGTCTTTCATGAATTTGCGCAAACGCAGAAATTCGCATAAGGGTGTACTTCAAGAGTTCTTGAGTTGCACACACTGTGAAAACGAGAGCCAATCAAGAGAGTACATTGTGTGCAGGCTCTAAGCCAATTATAATGAGCACGCCTACAAGTGGGTAGCTCACGATGACTTATAGAGAGTTAAGCAGGGCAATTTCTCTTTTGCTATCCCTCACTTCGTGACCTCCCTTCTCGATACTTTCCTACTAGGTGAACAATACGCTCTCTATTTTAGACATCAATACTTCATAAAAAGAAGACACAATTCTATAGGACCACTTTTAGTAATTATATTTTCAAAAAATAAAAAAAGCATCTTGTCACATAAAGGATTCTTTCAATTCATATCAAAGCAGATTCTTGAAAGCGAAAAAGAAATCTTTACTCAGGATGTCGGCCTATCAAGGAGGCAAGTTATTAAAAATTTTCCATTAATTGAAATTTATTAATATAAATATTGGTATATTAGTTTAAATTGTCTGTTATCAGTAAGAACAAATTTGAGACGTTTTTCCTATTAAAAGCTGAATTAAAAATGTAGAAATGTTAGTTATAATTTTTCTCCCCTATTTAAAGTATAAAATATGTAACCTAGTTTTCTGCTAGAAATTTTCCGTAAATTATACCTGTTTGTAAATTAATTTTATTATTATTTGCTTACAATTTATTGACTTTACTACATCAGAAAATTCGCATCAAAGGTAGTTGTTTAATATCAGTATTAAAAAGTTTCAAGAGAGATCTATGATATCAAATAACTGGCATAACAGATACCTCAGGGAAAATCGAGTGCTAGGTTTCTTGACGTAAGTGTCTCCATTCACAAAGTGGATGTTGTGCTACAAAATTGTCCACACTTGGAGCCATGAAAAGTATCAGAATCGGCGAGGGGAAACTCAAGAAATCAGAAGACTCCTGCATCATCAGGATTAAAATTCGTCATATTTGGAGGTTCCTATTTTTCTAAAATAAAATCAATTATAAATTTTACAGACTTAATTTATTTTAACACCTTGTGTCTCCGTTCACCCTTTTAATCGTTCAGCAAAATAGGAGTCAAGTAAAGTAGCAATGAGCCCCCCCCCCACCCCCACGGTTTCTTATTCACCTTAAAGTAATTTGAAAAAATTAGTCGTGGGAACTCTTCAATCTACAGTGCATTTCCTTATTGGCACTAGTTAAGTGTTACTGTATTTATTGAGCGGTACTCATTCTCCCTTATCCCAATCCTCTTCCGCCATCTCCATTTACCTGCCTTAATTACTTGAAATTCTCCCAAGGTAAATACACACGAAATTGTTCACGCGCTATTTACCCATAGACGATTTTTTACTCAGGACCATTAATGCCTACACATTAGTATTATTACTAATAGCGGCAGTGGACCATTTTAATATGGGTTTTAATTCCTCGTTGGGGTGAAATGATGCTGTGTAGTAAAGACTAATTAACGGAAAAATATCCCAGTACTGAGGTTAATTGAATTATAATTAGTAAGCAGAAACACCCTGTCAACTGTCGTTTAGAAAAAGCGCAATAGCTTATCCTCCACCCCACCCCACTCCCCCCACCCCACCCCCCTCCCCCACCCCCCTATTTGAATAATCATGGCATTTCCTTGAGATAATTATTTATTAACACTTTTGCATTCTAGATGTCCAAGTATTGGAGAACTGTCTCCAGGACTTTAAGGTAAGAAAATTATGAGGAGACATGATTTGAACTTGATAGAAGAAAAGAGCATTCGATTACCATTTTAGTATTTGAAATCTAATTAGGTTTTTTTTGTCCCCAATAGACACTAACTATTTTATATAGAATAGGATTGCGAGGTTAACTTCCCCCATTGTGAGTGAAGGTATTTCCGTTTTAGTCAAGAGCTCAGGAGATGAATGTCGGAGTAAACTACAATGCGCTGGAAGAAGAGCGCAAAAGACAGGAATTATTACTTCAAGAACTTCGAGATATAGAAAGCAAGTTATCAACTCCGAGTATTCGAAAAACTAATCTTCCCAATCTTGCTTCACTTGTTGGGGTACGTTATCCACTTTAATCTGTTGAGTTTCATCTATTTGAAATTTTTCAGGTCGAGTTGGAACAGAATACTCAATGTCTTCACTACCTCACCGGAATTTCAGAACTAGAAAGATATATCAGTGATGTGGCCGCTCATTTTGCCGAGCGCTCGATCGAACTTAGTGATCCACAAGCACTTCATAGTAATGTATTCAGTTACAAGGTAAAATCCATTGCTAAAAAAGTTAAGTAATCTCTTCCATTAGACCCTCTCAGATAATGTCAAAAGTTGTTGGGATTATGTGGAACAGCTAACGATGCTGGCACAAATACACATCAAGACTTCGGCTGAATATCATCAATTCTTCCATGAGGCAAATGAAGTTGAAGCAAAACTTGAGAAGCAGTTGCAAACTGCTCAACGTCGTCAGAATGCCGCAACAGAACAGAATCGAAGAATTAAAGATGTCAGCAAAATATCGAATGAACTGAGAGTGAGTATTGTAATTGAATTCACAGGGAAAGTGATAGAGAAAAGAATCGAACTACCTCTTTTAGTGCCTTTGCTATAAATCTCCTTGCAACATAGAGAAGATAGCCTTGCGTGTTGGCTTTTATTGAGAGTGCGAATTCCTATGTCAAAATTGATTTATTCTCGATATTCTTTAATAATATCACTAAATAGATTTAAAATTTTCTTATTTCACAATATTTCTGCCTAGTTTTCTTGGTCACTCTAAACACTTTAAATGCGGTTTGTTTGAACGAAAAATAGCCAGCATGTGAAGTTCTTATAGAACTGCACTAATGACATTGCGCTCATATTTTGAAAGAAACAAGACCCTATTTTTTTAAACTCGATGCGTCGCTGCACTTAAAGAATGAAAGCAGTTCTATTTGAGAAATCAACTCAAGTGAATCATGCGTAGCCTATGTGACAAAACGAATTTTTAATAAAAAATACATCTTGATAATGATTTCCGAAACAAAGTAAGAACCATAATTTAATAAGCCTAAGCTTCCGAAAAATCTTTCTCTACTAATAAATGGTTTAATACGCTGCAATTGGTAATTTATCTGATTGATAGAACAGATATAAACCCATAATTTAAATTGCCCCCCTTATTGTCAAACTCAATTTCAAGGTCTTATTATTATCTACACGTTTGTATATATATAATGCAAGCTGTTGTATTTATGAAGCAAAATAAAGTTATGAGGAAACATGAGATATAAACTTTATTCAGAGTATTTCAATAACAAGAAAATGTGCTAAATCGAGCGCCCCACTCTATACCATTTCTCTCAATAATTTTCTGAAAAATGAATCATCGTTTAAGTAATTCATGGAAATTATTTCACAGATATGCCTCTCCACCTTTTTTTACCTCCCCATTATTCAGTCAATTCTTTGGCATTTATGCTATTTTATATTTTCCAATTTTAGAATATAGTACTTCAATACTAGCCTTAAAATTGAGTCTTTGGCGTAAGCTATATACCATTTCTTACCTTCCGACTTTATTAAATTATTAAGCTTATATTGGGCTTTGAAGGAGATTTATTTGGGCCAGTGAAGCACTCAGGATATGAATATTCCAGTAAATAACTCCTTGATCATCGTGATATTTGACCCATATGATCGACGAAATATGCCTACTTAACGCTCATATTGGAAAGCGATATCAATTAAAGTTGTCAAATTCTAAATATTATATTTGCTAAATCGTGATGGAAGCAAAATCTGAGGTAATCGTTCGCCTCTTTGGGTATATCTCGCTTTCATTTCGATTTATTACTTTCCAACTTGACCTGGGTGTCAACTGAACACTTTTCCACAAACTCTTTAAGTTGATTGGTATATAATAATAAAGTGTGCTTCATAAACCGTCTAGGTTAAAGATATGAATGAGGTCAACACTCCTTGTCGGAAAATTGAGTTTCTATAAACCAGCTTTATCTTTCCAGACGTAGGAAATAAGTCATCAAAAATCAATAAATCAATGGAATATGCAAAAATCTCCTGCCAACCGAATAATGTCAAAATTTCTCTATCTCTACCGAAATTACTAATTATATATGAACATTTTCACATGTATAATCTGTATATTTTTCTGCCGTACCTTCAGGAACAGTTAGAAACCATGCGAAATTTATGGAGCAGATGCATTGCTCTTGTGAAACGCAGTGAATCCGTGGTTCCAATTCGTTTGAGGCTTGGAGGTGTCAGTGAAGGTGAAGTAACTCTGGGTTCTCCACACAATCGAAACGGGCCAGTCATGGTTAGAGCGCTGGTAAGCCTTACAGGGCCGGAATATCGGATTAAACAAGGCGACTTACTTCAGTTGATCGATAATCAGAAAGATAGTCATCTCTGGAAAGTGCAGACGTCTTCAGGTATTGAAAATGTTCCCTCCGTCTGCTTCTGGGTAATGGGAAATGATGTCGAAGCAATAGAAAGAGCGTCCCTGTGAGTCATAGTTCTCATATATATCTTATGCTACTTATATTTTTAAGTAGATATATTAACTTAAATTCACAAATTATTTTTCAAGGCTCAAGCAATACTGCAAAAAGACTTGGCTAGAAATTGCACGGCTCTCTCGGCAAAGGCTCTACTTCGAATACATTGATATTTTGAATAAATTAACTGCAAAAAATGTAAGAAATAAGTTTTTAATTCATGAATGGTTGGATAATGGTAGGAAAGCTTCATAAATAATGTTTTCTTCTTTCAACAGCCAGTGTGCATCAAACAGAAGGCATTTACAGATCTGATAGCTGATATCCACAACCAACTCATTACTCCAGAAGAGGATGACGATCGGCTTCGGATCGCCTTGGAAAAATTTCAGCGAAGTGTCATCTTTAAAAGTCGTGAGTCGATAGGAATAGATATTTACTTCTTGTTAATTTAAACTGTTCCCGAAATCATCATTTTGCAAGAGGTTGAGTCACAAGAACCGAGCTCACCATTTTAGGAGTTACGGGATTGTAGGAATTAATGAAAATTAACCAGATCGTCGAGGCGTAGACTGCAGATAGCAGCAAACAACAGTTTCAAAAGTGGAACTCAGAGAGTCGAATAGGTCAAGGGCACATAGTAAACTAAGAAGTGGAGTGGAAGCGAGTGACTGCATGTGCGCACATGAATGGGAATAGGAGGATAATATATGAGTCACTTGGTCAAGCGTGCGGATGAGACTGGACAAACGAGATTAGACTTGACAGATAGGGTTTGAGACATCATAAAGGAGTTGTGGCTTTTTACTCCATAAGGTACTTACCTTTTAGATATTAACCCATATGCCCGAAATGAGAAAAACACGTTGTTATTTTTTGCACCACTTAGGAAGTTGGTAAGTCTATCCATCTACTGAACGAATTATCTTCAAAATTCACCACTTGAAGCCGTTTTGATTGCTTCTGTTATTGAATTATTGCGACATTTTACTCTGAACTCAAAATCCATAACTCAGAGATCGAAACTACAGAAGTGGATGCATTAGACCTAATTCGTGGACCAATTTACACCCGGAGGGAGGGAGGGGGGTGGGGGAGAGAAGGAATGAATATTAAAATAAACGCATCAGAAAATGTAGTCTTTTAAGTGAGGAAGCTTTATCGAATTAGCTTGAGATTACTTGAGTAGCGGTCCGAAGTTAAAACACACATCGAAGAAAAGGTTTGCAAAATGACTTTTAGTTGGTGATATTGCTGCATTCCCGCGTGGTAAAAACTTTCATTCCTTTCAAAGCTAGAAAAACTGTTCTACTCAATATTTTAGATTCGATGCAAGAGGGGGAGTACGCTCTGAAAGAAATCGATTTGGTGCGACTTCGAACACCACTAATGCGATTACAGGACCATCTTATTGCAGTTGGCTTAATGCAAGAAGAGATGAAACGTCTCAACGAGTACATTGATAACTACCTAATTGAAGTCAAAAGCGAACAGAAACGTATTTCCAAGATGGTGGATCATCTAAAGTATGTAATTAACCAAAAAATGGAAAAAATGTCCCCTATAAATAACCCTTAAATTGTAAACTTTTAGACAAATAACAAAGGAGAGTCAAATCCAACTTGCCGATCTGTCATCACAATTGAGCTTATACACAGAAAATGCGACCAAACGGCCTCATTATGCGATACCCGAGATTGACGAGGTCTATCGCAGCAAAAGCCAACCGTTTGATGTTGAGGTTAGCTCAAGACCTAAACGAAAATTGGACGGAAAACGCGCAAGAAGTCAGACGGTTCATCAATTGGATGCAATGGTCCAAATAGGTAGTAAATGCAGGTCTATAGAAACACAGTCCATCGATACCACATCCGGGACTGATGATTCTCAAAGAACATCCAAAAAGAGCAGGATTGAGACAAGAATACGCCGACCTCCAGTTCAACGCTGTGTTATGACTCAAATTGGCCCAAGCAGTAAAGAGTCATGTACCCAAGTGGACTCCTCTGAATCTCCCACAACTGAAGAGTGTTATGTAACAGAAATGATGAAGGCGAATGTACGTAAAGGAAATCAAAATAGGCGGAGAGATGCGCGATCCGTCCCTGTGCATAACAAACGACCAGTGATTCAAATCAACAGTTGTACTCAGCTAGGAACTTTAAAGCATGAAAGATCGGTTAGTCCAATTCTCAGTCTTATCGACTGTTGCCATCAGTGTCGGAGACGTGGGATGAGGTGCCGATTAGTTTGTGAGCACATTTCAATGGAAACACCAAGAACGTATGATACAATAGACTCCTACTGTCAAACGCTGAGTAGCTATGGCTCCACTGTTCGATATATTAACCACGATTATGCAAACTCATGTACTCAGATTGGTACAATAACACGAGACTGTGTGCTTAGTCCAGTTGATTTTGACTCTGTTCCATTTGCAAGATGTAGGGAGATTGAACGACCATCTAGGGCAGCATCCCGTCGTGAGAATGTCTACGTTGAACCAGGGAGAAAGCGAAGACACTCCCAAGAAATGCAATGTGTTAATGTTGAACTTGACTATACCTCACCTCGTTACGCAAACATTGCACGATCTTACCCGAATATTGACAGAGTTTATGAAAATGCTGTTAATGCCAGAACACAGAGAGAAGGTCGTTATGAAGTGCATGAACGTAGAAGAACAAGATACATGTCAGAAACAGAAGCTGGAAGTTCCAATCATGCACACGCTGTACCAACAAGATATACAACAGAAGCTTCCTACCATCACACTGCCAGTCTTCCTGATTTATTATCAAGTGAAAGTGATGTGGTTTATTCACAAATTCCTCCAGTTCCACCGAGAAGAAGACGCAACGGTCAAACTGCAGGCTCACCTACACTTAAGTACACAACAGTTGTAGCGCCTGAGATATCAAGAAGAAGAGGTATGGTTGATCACTGCCACAGTGTTCCTAATATTCACGATCATCTGGTACAAATGGACTATGGTGTCGATGCAAATGAATACCAAACCAGAGATGTGGTTATGCTCGAAAACGTTTCCTATGCACCAAGTGCAAGGAATATTGGAACGGTGCAACATGCCATTAGTCTACCAATTATTGCCAGTCCTTGCTATGCTACAGCATGTGTCCCGGTTTGCAGACCTGTTGTATCCACTTGCATAGTTAGACCTTGTGTACGAACATTTTCGACTCAGGTATGTGAGGCACCCGAAGTGGTAGAATTTGTACGAGATACAGGCATTGCCGAAATGGAAATCACTCGTGTTGTTAAGCCAGAACGAAGATTCATTCAACCGTCAATGAAATTCGTTTCAGTTGGTACACCGGCTCAAAAACACTACGACGTCAGCTGTGATGCTATGATTATACCTGAATATGCATCGAAAAGAACCCAGATTGAACTCTTTGAAGAGCCTAAAATCATCGAGACACGAAGGGAAGAGCATGTGTATAGTGCTCCACCAGAACCGATGCAAACTATGACGACGCAGTCTGTGGTAGGGACACATGGAAAGAAGCTGCAATTTGAACCCGAGATGAATGATGCTAGTTGTGAAACGCAAAGGCCTGGATCGTATCAGATAATTGCTTGCCAGAAGGATATAAAAACTAGTGGAAAAAAGCTTCAAGTAACCATCCAAGTACCAGAGCCAATGAAATTGGGAAGTGGAGAAGTTTCTCCAATTAAAAAGGCTGGGCATGGGAAAAAGTTGCAGGTGAATTTGGCCACACCCTTACATGTTGATGTAACACAAACAATTGCAGAACCCAAGAAATCAGTGGCAGATTTCCAATGCGACGCCATACAACCAGCACCCTTTGAGGTTGGAACATCTCAGTCTATTTGGGAAGAGGTGCCACAAATTATTTCACAACAGGAGGTTGCACCTGTATTTGTTGCTCCAGTTGCTCTGCCAGTTGAAACACGCGATATGGCCAGTGAGACAATTACGCTAATAGAAACGAATGACTTCTCTTGCGATGCAATTCCAGCTCGAACGATGGTAGGCAAAAAATTGCAAATAACAGCACAACCTGTGCATGAAGAAATTGCGCAAGCTCCATTAAAAATCGGTGTTGCGCAATCAATTCAGCGGGTAATTCCAACTAATGACTTTTCTTGCGATGCTGAAATACCTGTCGAGGTGTCGGGAAAGAAGCTGCAGGTGACTCCACCTCCTATGGAATCAACCACGACACAAGCTCACTACATGGAGATTTTGCCTGAATCATTAATAATTGCAACCACACAATCTAAAGCTAGAGCTGAAGTAACAACTAAAGAATTCGGTTGCGAGCCTATACCTGTTATAACTCAGGGCAAGAAATTGCAGGTTAGTCCAGGACCAATGTTAATAGAGGCTGGTCAGGCACTGCATACAGAAATCAAGATGGCCACTATTGTGGCACAGACGGAGGCAGAGCCAATAATGAAAACGATTGGAAAAAAACTGCAGGTCGAGCCGCCCCCACTGGCTTCAATTGCATCTCAAGCAATTTATGAGGAACCTCTACGAGAACACTTGCATGTTGGGCAATCCCAATCGATATGGGAAGAACCTGAACCAATAATTATCAAACCACTGACACCGGTGGCAGTTGTAATGTCTGCTCCTCCGTTAACAAGCGAATTCAGCTGCAATCCCATCCCAATCATGACAGAGTACAAGACAGTTCAAATTGTACCAGAACCGGTGGTGACTAAGGACTTCAGCTGCGATGCTCCCTTAGCAATTTCGAAGCAAGATTTCTCATGTGATGCACCAGAACCCATTCAAACAATAGGAAAGAAACTGCAAGTTTCGCCAACTCCACTAGCGGCGGCCGTTTCACAGTCTAATTATATTGAAGAGAAACCTCCACTTCTTTCAATTATCCAATCTCAAGCATTCTATGAAAAAGTTAAAATTGAACCACTAATGAGAGGATCATCACAAGCTATATATACGGAACCGAAACAGGAACCATTTCGAATTGAAGCCACACAAGCAATTTGGGTGGAATCCCCACCGATTGTCCTCAAGCAGGATATAATGCCTGTCTTCTCTGCACCAGTAATTGAATCAAAAGATTTCTCATGTGAAACGAGACCAATTGAAATTCTAACTCAGGACTTTGCGTGTGAAGCACATGTTCCCGTTGAGACACAAGGCAAAAAGTTACAGGTATCTCCAGAACCGTTAGTATCGTCAATGTCCCAATCCATCTACTTAGAGATGGAAAAGATTGGTAAAGCCTTCCAAGTGGGTCCTGAGCCAATGGCCGTTACTGTTGCTCAAGTAACCTACATAGAACCTAAGGTGAGTGTCTACGAACTATACTCAGGCCAAGTGAAAGAAATAGAAAAGATTGGCAAAAAACTGCAAGTACATCCTGAATCATTGAGTGCAATGACTAGTCAAGTGTCACTGAAAGAAGTTACATTGTCTTCGAGTGTGACTCAAACTATCGAACCTGCAGTGGTTGAGAAAGTTGGAAAGAAATTGCAGGTTTCACCAAAACCTCTTGAAGTAAGCGTATCACAAGCAGTCTATGAAGAGTCTAGACCCTCTCCACTGGAAACAATTAGAACACAATCAATCTGGGTCGAACCGGAACCAATCATCATTAAGCCCGCAACCCCTGAACAAATTGTTATGGCAGCACCGGCACCTCTTACAAGTGACTTCAGTTGTAATCCCACTTTACCAACGACTCAATTCAAAGGGGTTCAAGTCGAGACAGTACATCTTGTTACAGCAGGGGCACAGGCTGTGTACGTCGAACCCAAAGCACCAGCATTAACAATAGAAGCCGCACAATGCGCGGCAGTCTCAATGAAAGACTTCACTTCCGATGCCCCATTACCTCCCCAGACGATTGGAAAGAAACTTCAAGTTACTCCCGCCCCTCTAACTGCAACATCAATGCAGGCAACTTACATTGCAGAGAAGCCAGCTCCCTTGGCTGTTGGAGCTTGTCAGGCAATTTATGTGGCACCCAAGCCAGCACCACTAACAACCGCCATCTCCCAAGTTAAATTTGTGGAACCTGCACCAAAACATGTAAAGGATTTCAGCTGTGATGCACCTCGACCGATTGAGACCTTTGGAAAGAAGCTCCAAGTAATGCCAGAACCACTTGCTTTGGCTATTTTACAGTCCACTTATTCGGAACCGATTCAGCCTAAACACGATCTAACAGCAGTTCAAGTACCCATTCAACCATTGTCAGTATCTGTCTGTCAGGCAACCTACACAGAGCCACTGCTAGCAGGACGATCCCAAACCCTGTGGATAGAGCCAGAACCAATCATTATCAAGGCGCCATCACCCAAACCAATGGTATTTGCAGCTCCACCACTACCACAAACCAATGACTTTAGTTGTGGTCCTCTTCCTACATCTTCGGTTGGCAAAAAATTGCAGGTGTCACCTGAGCCTCTAAATTCAACAATAGCTCAAGCTAGCTATGTTGAATCACCAATCGTTGCCTATGAAACAAATGTTGTACAGTGCAGAGTGCCTGAAATGCTCGGCAAAAAGCTTCAAGTTGCTCCTGCCCCTCTAACAGCAAAATCAATGCAGGCAACTTACATTGCAGAGAAGCCAGCTCCC